TAAGGAGTTAATCAGTTAAAGCGCTGCTCAAATATACTCATTCTCTTCTTTGTTAGCTTAGCTAGTATCAAACTAAAATACGGCTAAACATGTAGAGCCTAGAATCTAGGGCTGGCGAATATTTTTAAAATATCGTAACGATGCTATTTTAAGTTTTGATATATCGATACATTGAAAATATTGTAAATGTATACGATATTATGGCAAAAAAATATTCCGATATAAATATGCATTTTGTTGACAAATATAGCAATATTTTGATATTTTTATATACAGTAAAATCCGGTTATAACGACTTCGCTTATAGCGTCTGTACGCTTATAGCGACGAAAATTCTAGTCCCCAGGCAAACTTTTATGTGCAAACTTATACGGTTATACCGCCTTCCGGGTATAACGATGGTCCCTTGAGTGTCGTTATAACTGGACTCTTCTGTATTTTCTACAACCCTAGTAGAATCATTTACCCACGGCTCTATAAATGACTCTATTGCTTCCCAGGGTACTTCAGTATAACAACAAATGTAAGCAGCTGATGAGATCTATAGATCAAATTAGTTTCGACCTAGCTGGCGACAACTCTGAGATGATATAGTCATTAATGAATCATTAATGAATCCTTTTAAATCTTTCGAATGCGAAATTTGTCGACTCAGTCGTTTATAACTCCAATGGTATCTCAGTGCAACAACAAATGTAAGCAGCTGAAGAGATCTATAGATAAAATTGGTTTAAGCTGAGCTGGTGACAACTCTGAGATCATATAGTCATCAATGAATTAATGAATCCTCTTAAATGTGGAACATCTTTTGAATGAGAAATTTGTCGACTCAGTCGCTTAGAACTTCAGCTGGCTGATGTTTGTTTGACTCAATAGATCTCGATGATATTCTCTGACACGATCTTAATTTAAATTATCCCTGAGAAGGTAACCTCATAATATATTCATAATATATTCAAATATTCTACTAAATGGCATATAGCTTTCAAATGGGCCCACATACAATATATTATCTCAGATCAATTTTGTTTTATTGCTATTTCATTTCGACCTACAATGGACGCCCATTGATAGGTAACAATGGCTTAAGCACAATAGGTTTATGTGCATGTTAGCTTTAAGTTATGTAACTTGTTTTAGTTAATTACTCATTCTAATCTCATCTCTTTCCCCTTTCGCATTGTGCTCATTATGCAGAGTAAGCTCTAGTCGAGCCCGTTTGTGTGAGCCAAGACGGAAGCTTATTATAAAACATTTCATTTCATTTCATTTGCTGCTGTTTTTCACACACACACACACACACATATATATATATAATATTTCTCTGCTATCCATTTAAACGTAAATAAATAAAATGGCAAACAAGAAGGGCAGCAGCAGCAGCAGCAGCAGCAGCAACATCAACTTTTGGCAAACGCCCAAAAATTTGTTACCATTCAACAGTTGGCCACATTCATTGAGGTTGTCTGGGCTGCCAAGGAGTCGTGGGTCGCCAGAGGGAGGGAGGGGGGCCATCGTGTTGCTGGGCTTTTGACAGAGATGAGGGCAGTTGCTGGCTGAGCAAGTAGGCGGTGGGGTGGGGCGGTTGGGGCACCGAGTGTGAGCCCATTTCTGGCATGTTTTGGATACGAAGCCGCATTTGCGTTCTCAGCGGTTTCTGTTTGCGTTTGCGTTTTGTCAGCCATATGACAGCAACGTTCAGCACAGCAGCGCCACCTGCGGCTCAATATTGACACTTTTGTGTGTCTGTCGCTCTGTCTCGCTATCTGTCTCTGCCTATGTGTATGTGTGTGTATGTGTGCCATTTTGAGCGTATTTGTTCAAGAGCTTTAATCAAATAGCCCATAATTAAATGTAACAAGTTTCCAGCAACAACAACAACAATAATAACAACAACAACAACAACATATGTATACATGTCAGCAGAAATATTGTATTGCGTCTACTCTCTGTCTTTTCTATGTGCTATCCTGCCATTCATCCATCTATGCCTACCTATCTAACTGTCTATCTAACCGCCTGTTTGTCTGTCTGGCTGTCTGTCTGTCTCTCTCTCTCTCTCTCTCTCTCTCTCTCTCTGCTCTCACCTGCAACAGTTTTGTTTTTCTTTTATTATTTTCCTTTTCTTTTTTTTTTTTTTTGCCTCCTTCTATCTCAGCTTGTTGCGCGTTCTTTGGATGCCAGCAACAAATATGTGTAGCATGAGCGACAGAGACAGTCCGTGAGTTAAGGTATTAGGTACAGCCACGCCCCCCCTGTCAGCCCCTTCGCAAATGCCATGCCACGTTAACTGCTCGCAATGCGTTCGGAATTTGAAGCCAATCCAAATATTTCTTCACTTCGCTAGCTGTGTGTGTGTGTGTGTGTGTGTGTACCTGAGGAGTTGTGATAACGAGCCAGATTCTAATAAATGATTGATTGATTGAATGATTGATTCAATAGAAGAACGGCATGCAGTTGTTGCCGCAATAGCTATTAACCAGCCCTTCTATTGCTTAATATACCAATATATATGTAGAGCTCATATATTTTTGAGTTTGCTTTTAAGCTGGCTATAGGAGCGAAAAATATCTTGAACTCCATCTTGAGCTGCTCTTTTATATCTACGCTCTCTACTCCAACACTTCAATCCAATTTGATTGAATGTCTATATGGAGTATACGAAATACTAACTTTTAATGATGGCAAATAGCTAAGGGCAATGCAGAAACCTATCGATAACTTAGATCATACTTGAGGGAGGAACTAGAGTGCTTACAGAGTATGAAATAAATCGCAATGCGAAGAGTCATCGATAATTTGAGTTGTCAATTTGATTAGTCAAGTCTAACAAATGAAACAAAATACGAAATGTTATCGATAACTTGAGCCAAAGTTCAAGTAACAACATTTTTCCGATAATTGTAATCTTATATAACTTGCAATGATTGCATAGCCATGAGCAAATCTATCAATACTTTCAAGAGCAGACACTGCCCACCTCAACGCCCACCTTCTACTTGCACACACCAATTCCCATTGTGAATGGAAAAAACTTTCTGTATTTAATTAAAATTGCTGCATTTTTCTATAGCTGCAAAGGAATTCGAGCCATCCCTTTGACCATAGTTAAATTAATCATTGACAGCTGTTGCCTAGCCAAAGGCTTTCATTTCCTGGTCTCGCTCCTAGCCTAACCTACTTTCATCTCCAGCTATCGGATCTGTTTCATTAAAGCTGAATACACAAAATATCTTCAAATAGATTAGAGTTTTAGAGGCTTACACCTTCTGGATTATGCAGAAATAGTTTAAGAAATGACAAATCCATTCGAACTTTTCGATTGTGAATATATATTACAGGGTGTTTACGAGTTGCGTAGACCATGTCAAAGTATTGGCTGCAGTGGTACGTTACCTTTGAGCTATGAATACACTTCAGGCTGTTTGTATTTATGGCAAATCGCTTGCTGCCGGGTATATTCTAGCTGAGCATGCCCAGCTTTAGTTCCGAGAGCTGTGAGTCCCAATGAGAAGCTGCGAACTTTTCAACAGTCCTATAGAGCATCTGCAGCCTGTGCATACCCGCACTAAGGTTTCATGTAAATCTGTTTTGTGGGCGTGTCTGTGGTTAACATCGTTCACCATCCATGTGGCATTCCACTATGACGCTTTGTCTTGTCGACACACGAGCTGCCAACAAAGATGTCCGACTGAATGACTGAGGGACGTCATATAGCGCCGCTATGCCCTACACACATACACACACACACACACACACACACATATACATACATGTGAGTTGCACTTTAAGGACTGGAGCCATGCACCATGGGGAAGTAAATGTTTGACATTTGCTGTCATTGCGAATGTCCTCGACATTTGTTGTTCTTGTTGCTGTTGTTGTTGCTGTTGTTGTTGCTGTTGACCGACTGCGTTGGCATTGTGCATTTGCCGTTGTTTATCGAGAGCCTTTGGCCAGCAGCAGCAACAACAGCAGACAACAACAGCCCTTTGTCTTTGACAACATATAACTGTACGGCCAAGCGAGCTATCGGAGGCCTTTAACGGCTACCCTATCACAATGCACAACCTTTAAAAAGTACGATTAAAACAAAGCACCTCACAAAAAAACAACAACAACCAGTGCCTGCAGTGTTGTAAAATTCGATTTTTCAAACGATTTTTGTTCGAATCTGACGAAATTTCTTATAAATCTTTTATTTTTCATCCACCCCGTCAGCCGCCTTTAACATTTTATCAAGCTGTCAATTCATCGAATTGGTTACATATCAAAAAATTCATTGATTCATTGATTTGATTTGAGTCGACACCCAAATTTGCATTATCCAATTTAATGTGCAATGTTTTTGATAGCTCTCAATTTGTCAATGGTTTATTTTGACAAGGCTTGAGGGGCGAGAATTTATCTGAAAAACCTTAATACAATTTGATCTTCCTTTAGATTTAGTATGAAGGCTAAAACACTTAGTTTTTCACTACTATTTCGAAATCGATAAATATCGATTCTTGGTTGGAAAGATAAGCAGAAAATAAGAGGTATATGTATATTTATATTGAAATGGGTTTAAATTTTCTAGATTAGATTCAGTTCCACCACTTAAATGCTTCACTTATGGATCAAAATCTAATACTATCGATAAATATCGATTTCCCCTCGTGTGCTTTAGTTTTTTAACTGCTATTTCAATATCTAATATATTAAAGCTCTATATTAAATATTTCATGTCATTGTTAATAATTCTATTTATGCATTCCTTTCAATATATTTCAGCTACAAAAACTAACTGACAGCGGGCAGCTCGAAGAACTTGTGATTATTTCAAAACGGAAACGGAAGCTGAAAGAGCAGCAGCCACAGCAGCCGCAGCGGGGAGTGGAGAAGAAGCAACAGCAAAAGCAGATAGTCGCCAGACGACAGTTGAAAACAATGCAAATTAAAATACAATAAAATGTAAAACACGGCAGCAACAGCAACAGCAACAACAAAGACGACGACGGCGACGGCGACAGCAGCAACATCAGCTGAAAAAGAGAGATAGAGAAGAAGTTAGAGGGAGCGAGAGTGAGAGAGTAGAGTGTGTGCGTTCGTAGTATGCGTTAGGGTGTGAATACTGTGGTTGAAGCCCGTCAAATGGAAATGAGAAGCGGGCGAAGTGGCGGCAACTTTTCTACTGAATTGATTTGCGCAAAAGTCACAGGATACGCGGTGTAGATAGCAACAGCAACAACAACAGAAGCAGCAGCAACAGTCACATCAGCAACATCAGCAACAACAACAACAGCAATTTGCATAATTTTCAGCAACAGACACGCCAGCAACATAAGCAACAAATTGCACACAGCAAACGCAACGGACATAAAAAGGCGCCGAAATAAAACAGGAGGAAAAAAAATAAAACAGTAAAAAAAAAAAAACATGTAAGCTACGTTTGCTCGATGGACTTTTTTTTAGCTTTTCGCATTTAATATATGCAAAACAGAAGAAAAAAAAATTAAAAACCAAAAGCCGAAAAAGAAACAATCAAAAGCGGAAATAAACGCGCGCAAAACGCGCTGGAAACGCGACGAAAAGCAGCAGGAAACGCCAAAGTCCAGAAACAACAGCAGCAACAACCGCAACAACAACAACAATAACAAGAGCAGCGCGTACGCGAAAGTTTTTGCCTATAAATGTACCAGGACAGCAGCTGCAGCAGCAGTAGTCGACGTGGCAGCGCAGCAACAGCAACAACAACAGCAGCAGCAGCAGCAGCAACAGCAACGACGACGGCAGCAGCAGCAGCAGCGGCAGCAGCGGCGGCGGCAACTGGGAATGAGGAGGATAACTTTGAGGCGTTGACAATAATAACGACAACAACAACAATAACAACGACAGCGGATATAGCCAAAGTGGGCGTGGGCGAGGCGACAACAACAACAACCACAACAACAGCAACACTAATCACAGCAGCAGCAACAACACAAACAACAGCAGGCGCAGGAGCAGGAGCAGCAACAGGAACAAGCGCCGCTGGCAGCTGCAATAACAGCGACGACGACGACGATATTTATACATCAGCCGATGCCGAAATAGATATAGAGTGCATAACAGCGCAGGGCTCACGATTGCCAACGAGCAACAGCAACAACAGCCACAGCAGCGGCCACAGCAGCAACAGCAGCAGCAGCTGCGGAAATGCCGCGCTGTTCTGCAGCGCACGACAGCAACAGCAGCCGCAGTCGCAGCAGTCGCAGCAGCAACAGTTGCAGCTGCAGCAGACGCAACGTGCCGCCGCTGCCCTAAACGCCGATGTGCGTTTGCTGCGTAAAATCGGCTACATTGCCTCGCGAGTGCGCTGCCTGGCCAAATACTATAACGACTTTCGCCTGGTCAATCCGTACAGCGCGCATCGGCAGCGACGTCAGCTGCAGGAGATATTGTTGAAGCACTCGATATTCGATCCGGGACGCGAACGGGAGCGTGCCTTGCTGCTGGCAGCGGCAGCGGCGGCAGTTGGTGCAGCAACAACAGCGGCAACCACAGCGGCAACAACAGCAGCAACCACAGCGGCAACCACAGCGGCAGCAATTGTTAGTCGCAGCCAGAGCTGCAGCAGCAACAGCTTTGAGCCGCTGGAGGAGCAACCGTTGCAGCTGGAAGCGGAGTCTGATACAGAAGAGGAGCGAGAAGAGCTGGCCATAGCCACGGTGACAACGACAACGACAGCGACAGCGACAACAGCGACAGCAACAGCAACAGTGCGACGCAAATCGTCGGCTAGCAGCACCGGGAGCGGCCCAGTGACAGCAACAGCAACAGCTTCCGCCTCGGCATCGGCATCGGCGGGCGCCTCGACCAGTGCGTCGGCCTCGCTGCTGACAGCTGCCACGCCCATAGCGCTGCTGGAGGAGTTGCTCATACAGTTCTACGAGGATCAGGATCAGTGCCGCAGCAAGTTGACTGTTATACGGCGGCGGCTGGCCTGCAGCGACAATTTGAATACACTTAATAACAACAACAACCACAACAACAACAACAATAACAGCAACAACAACAACAACAATAGCAGCAGCAGCAGCAGCAACAGCAGCAACAACAACAACAGCATCAGCATCAGCAACCAGAACAACAACAGCAACAACAGCAGCATCAACAATTTCAGCAACGGCCACAGCCTGACCATGTCCACGTCCATGTCGAACATGGTCGAAGCAGCAGCAGCAGCTGCTGCTGCCACAGCCACAGCGACAGCAACGGCGACGGCCACAGCAGCAGCGGCTGCCGCAGCTGCCGCCGCCGCCGCTGCGACAGCGACAACGACAGCAGCAACTGTTGCTAGCGACATTGCTGTTGTCCTGCCCACCAGCAGCAGCGGCGGCAACATGTGCACTGGCAGCGGATCTAGTCAGCAGCAGCAGCAGCAGCAGCAGCAACAGCAGACGCGCGCCTATTTGCAGCCCTCGCTCGACGGCGACCATCCGTCGCGTCGTCGTCGCGCCAGCGACTGCTCAGCGGCCGCTCTGACGAACCAGCTGCACTGCATCACGCTGAAGAACAACAACTGCACAGCCGTCGCAGCGGCCAGTGCGGCTGGCAAGCTGCCCTTCCATCGGGGCAGCTGCGGTGCTGCCGGCGAGCATCTGCTGGCAGCGAACTCGATCGCCAATCGCGCCACCATCATATTGAGCAAGTCCTGCAGCAATGTCGACGGCGACGTCAGCCTGACGGCCACCGTGCCCAACAACAAGCTGCGGGCCAGCGCCACCGACATCGAGAGCAACTCGAATGCCCTCAATGGCGGGCGGATCGATGCCATGCAGCAGGCCATTGCCGATGCCACCTCGAACAACGGCAACAATGAGTACAGCATCCTCCAGCTGAACAACACGATCATCCAGTGTCACTTCAACGACGACGACTTTCGCGCCCTGGTCAAGGATCTCAAGCGCAAGGTTGAGTATACGGAGCGCATGAATTGGCTATGTAAGTAGAGCTCTAACTATACTCCTTCCTTATACATTCGAGTCCCGATAATCCGAAATGGCAGCGGGATCAGTTTTTTTTTCGATTTATCGGGAATTATCGAGGACGAATTGTTTTACAGGGGATCGAATTTTTTCGATTTACCGCGACATCCAATTTGGCGGGGTACAAATTATCGAGACTCGATTGTCTATTCAATAACTATTATAATAAATTGTTTGTTACAACAAATACTGGGTCGATATCAATGTCAACTGTTTTTATGCTGAAATTTTATCAAAACATATCTAGAAACTCTCGAGAGAAACTATCAAAATCATTATTGTATACATGGAAGTCCTATAAATTGTATAAGTGTCCATGATAATCGAGTGACTCTTAGCACTTATCGATAACAAGTTGTTACCATTTTTGCATGAATCGAATTTCTTGTAGGCAATCGATTACATTTTGTTACATCACTTGCAATATTTCCCTTAAAAGAAATCAAAATCGAATTGGCCAGCACTCGATAATTTTTGCCATTTTCTCAAATGGATTAAAAGCAAATATGTTTCAAATAATCGATAACTTTTTCTCAGGCAATCGATGATTTTTTAATTTCTATTAAATTACATGATCATCAAATTTGCAAGTTATCGATAACGCTGTGTCATTTTATAAAATTAATTGAAATCAAATTTTTCGGAAACTATCAATAATTTTCCTATTTTGAATTCATGTCAATTAATAGCAATTAAACAATTTTACATTTTAATGAAATCAATGCAAACCAAACTTCTTTCTACTTGGCGAAAACTTTTGTCATTTCTGTGAAAATAGACCTTGCACTTCTATTTCCATGAGAAATCAATGAAAAGCAATTACAAGCTTTGCTTACACATCATGGACATTTGTGTCGATTTTCATAAAGTCAATAAAAATCAATTTATTTTCAAATAATCGATAACTAATTAATAAGTCACTGAAGTCGATAAAGTTGCTTCCTAATATATTTCAAGTCTCTTTTAAAGCTGAACTCATCAAGCAAAGAAAACAGACCGAGAGAGAAAGAGAGAGAGAGAGAAAGAGAAAAAGAGATAGTGTTATCGATAAAAAACCAATAGTTGGCACTTGAGTCCAAGTCATTTGGACTCAGTCAGCGAATGCAGTGAACCGAATGAAAGTGCATGGACCGAGCCATCCCGCCCACCCTCTTCATGGCTATTGTGAATGCAATTTGAAATGATTTTTACATTTCATTGTTGTTCCATTTAGAATTTTTGCATTCACTTTCGCACTCGCACTCGCATTTGCCAGCTCACGGCTCATTTGAGGCATTTACGCATCAAATTTGACCCGTCCATTTGTTAGTGGCGTCCTTTTAGCAAATATGCAGCATTTGATATTTGCTAAAGGGACGCCACTAACAAACGACCCGAATGCATAACATGAACACTTGAACACTTGAACACTTTCCATGCATATGCAAATGCAATGTCATCTACTCTGATTTTGTTGCATGCAACAAACTGCATGTGCGAGACGTGCTTTGATCTTAGATATAGAAATGAAATATCTTACCTTTACAAGATTCGAAATGAATGCATTCAGAGACTAGACTCTCGTTTGAGCATTCAGGTTTAACTATCTCTTCTCTAACTATTTCTTCATTTGTATTCAGTCTTCATTATCTTTCATACTTCTAAAAAGTTTTACTCAAGACTCTTTAACTAAACTTGCCTTAAAGAACAAAGTATAGTTTTAATTACAACAAAAATCGAAATTGTATGAAATACATGGAAGTATACATTTAAAGTTTGGAGACTGTAGCTCTACAGGTGTAGGAGATATAATTAACTAACTAGTTTTCGATAAGGTTTTTAATCGATAACGAAATACCGCGAGTAGTTATCGATTTTCGGAGAAAAACTCGATATGCGCGTGATATACACGAACCTAGGAAACAAAATTTCAAGTCTCTAGCTCTTATATCTTCTGAGATCGACGCGCTCACACATACGGGCTGACGGACGGACAGACGGACAGAGCTAAATCGACTCAGCTCGTCGCCTTGGTAAAGAATGTATATACTTTGTGGGGTCTGCCACGCCTCCTTCTGCCTGTTACGTTCTTTTAACAAAACCAGTATACCCTGATTTCCCATTTTCAATGGATTCAGGGTATATATAATAAATTCAGATATTAACAGATTTAAAGGAATTTAGATATGGTAATAAGGTATGGTATAGTATAGATATAGGAGAATGATCAAAGGCCCCCAGCCATAAAGCTTATTGGGCTGATTCCTGACTTAAAATCTTGAAGCTACAAAGGTGTCCTTGAGCTTTACCTGGAACTTACGCCCCAAAACTTTTTCTTTGTCTGTCTTCCTTCGCCATCTTCCATCTTTATATATTTGCAATAGCAATAGCTCTACTATTCTGGAATCAGAGGGAGAGCTATATGTAGAGGGCGTAATTTTAAGAGCGATTCTCTATAGTAGCTCAAATCCACTTGTAAAGCTCTGGCAGGTAAAAGCTCTTAGCGTCAGCATGAAAAATGCGAGTTGGGCAAATAAAATTGCACAAGTGCCAACAAAGTTGCATTGAAAATGCAAACTTTCGGTCATAAATATTTCTCTGCATATATCTAGATATATCAGTTATTAATTGAGGTATCACTCTAGAAACTTCAAGCTCAAACTACAAAAAAAAAAAAAAAAAAAAAATCGAAACTAAAACGCAACTTGCAGCGACTTGTGCAGCGTATCGTATAAACAGTTAGCTGCAGCAAGCAAATGGCTTAAGGAAACTGCAACAACAAGGAGCAACAAACAACAAACAACAACAACAATGACAAACAACAACAACAATACGGCTGACAGCAAAGACATCAATCGGAGCATGTAACTTGTGATGCTCATCAAGAGTTGCGCTACTTTTGGACTGTGTCCTTGCCAGCGCTGTCTAGGTCTGTGTCTATCTATCTATCTCGCTCGCTCACTCCCTCTGTCTCGCTCTCTCTCTCTCTCCCATACTCTCCCTGTCTCTGTCTGCTCTGCTGCTTGTGGCTGTGGCAAATTTTGCTTTTAAGGCTTACGCCTTTTATATGTCCTGCCCGTGTACGTGTGCATGTGTGTGTATGCGCCCGAGCTCAGCCAAGGACAGAACAGACAGGGCCGACGACGACGACGACGACGGCGACGGCGACGGCGTCGGCGACGACAACAACTTTGTTGAATGGCATTAAAAGTTGTCTTTGTATCGACGCGCAACGTTTGCCGTTTGCCGTTTGCCACATTTCGTTTTGTTTCTCCTTCAATTTTTTTTACATTCCTTTCTGTCCTTGCACTTGGCCAGCACGTGTGTGTGTGTCTGTGTGTGTGTCCGTGCGTGTGCGTTTGCCTGTGTGTGCGTGCGTGCGTCAGTTTTCCGCATTGTCGCATTTTAAACATTTCAATTAAATTGCGTCGCGTCGCGTCGTTTGTTCTCGACTCGCCGTCAATTCGCATTTTTCGTTGCCTACTTTTTGGCGCCTGCTGATTGCCTTCCATTCAATTCGATCTGTCACTCTCACTCTCTCTCTCTCTCGCTCTTCTCTCTCTTCTCTTTCCTCTCGATCGCTTGCTCCGCAGAGTCGTGCTTAAATTTCTGCCCGATTGTTTTGATTCGCATTGTAGTTTTTAATCTCTTAAGATGATTACGCCCGCGCTCGCTCTTTCTCACTCTCGCATACAAGAGTGTGCATATGTATATATGTGTGTGTGTGTGTGTGTGCTTCTACATGTGTTTCGCTTCTGTCTGGCATAACCTGTTCGAGCAATCAACGACATCGTTAATTTGCTTTCAATTGTGCAACTGCTGCGGCGGCTCCTGCGGCTCCTGCTGGCGCCTTGCCTTCTATTGGCCTTGCATTATTTTATGTCGGGATTTTGAACTGTTTTTATGCTCGTTCAAGATGCGAATAAGAGAGTAGATTGGCTTTTGGATCAGCATTTCCAAATCGGAAATCTGTTGCCAGGTAAACTTGAGGGTCTAATAAAGCCAGAGATATGAAAGATGGTTACATGGTATATGTATATACATAGCTTGAGATCCTAATGAATCCAGAGATACGGAAGATTTGGACATGGTATAGATACATTTCTCTATGTTCTCATGCAGCTGCCATTCACATAGCGGAATCCATCGATATGATCTTTGAGCATATTTCTTCCAGTTTCCTCTGCTGAACTCTCAAATGTGCTGCAACTCAATTTCTCTCTCTATTCCCCTCTTGTACCGTCAGACCCATAAATTTGACTGTTCTCCCTTTGAGGTAACTTCAGCCGTTTTTAGAGTTTTATGTAGTCAGAGTATTATGCAGTCGGCTACACCCGTTCTACTTCCTCTTTCTGGCACGCAATTGTGATTTTTCCCGCTGCTGCTGCCAACAGCAATTATGAGCAGCAGACGCTTTGCCAAGGCTCACACACGCTCTCACGCACTACCCCTCCCTCTGCCCACCCCCTCCCTTTTTTCCACTCTCTCGCTCTCTCGTACAGTCATCAAGTTTTGGCTTGTCTTTTGTTTGCATACTAAGTATTTTCGCAACACTGGCTAATTTCGCCGAGTCGCTTGGCAACACTGCGCGTAATTAAAATTGGCATCTGATAAAGAGAAAAAATAAATACATAATCTGCTTTTATGACAGCAAATTTGGCTGCGAAAGCAGCTGGCCAAATATTTTACGACAGCAATATAAATGTCTCACTGTCTCCTTGTCTGTCTGTCCGTCTGGCTGTCCTGGGTGGCAGCAAACTGGGCAAGAAAATTAGCAGACATTGACGAAAGTTTTGAGCAAACTAAACCCCTGCCATACACATAGTGTTTCTTAATCTGGAATATTACGATGGACTCGCTGAAAGACGTTCAGATACGGAAGAATTCTATCTTGAGAGTAGAATCTTCTTGTTCTTCTTCTTATTTACTGCAATTCGAAATTATAACCTTAACTTGGAAGACTTCCTGAGCTGAACG